CACCTTGTTGTCTCGGATTCTCCAGCATCTGCAGTTCCTACTATCTCTGAGTAGGTACCATGTTGTTAGGAAGGGAGTTCCAGTGTTTTGACACAACTGAAGTGAAGAAAAGGAAATATAGTTCCAATTTAAGATGGTATGTGACATGAAGAAGAAGTTGAACTTCCATCAGCACCTGTTAAGACTCCCTAGAACATGAGCAGTGAAGTCAGTAGTGTGACCGTCATTTTTTAGTTGATAAGAGGGAGTTGAAATCTCGGTATTTGAAAATTTTAAATAGTTTTACTGTACATGGAGGGTTTGCACTTACTAGTCCTGCTGTTTTTGATTAACCACGGAGAGAGAAGGAGCTCCATTCCAAGAAGAACAGCTGAAGGTTCCTCTCACTGCTTTGCTTGGAATGGAGGCCTTTCCATCTAGTGCAGTGTCCTGGTAAATGGCACTTGTTGCAATTCTTGAACATCATCCAGAAAGCAGTAGCCACTTGAAGGTTTATTTCAATTATGTCTGCAGATATTTTGTGGGTTGTGGGTTAAAGATTAATGAACAGCCTATTCTGTATTGTTACCTACTCTTTAAGTTGATTTTAAACTTTTTTAAATGACAGATTTGAAAATCCTGGCACTAGCAGGTTGCATTTGGAGTGCAATCTCTGCACTTTGTACAGCGAGCTGCCCCCTTCTACACATGCTTGATCTTCGCTGGGTGGAGGACCTCAAAGACTCACAGATGAAAGAGTTGCTTTCACCACCTACAGATTGCAGAGTAGGTCAGTTCAAAGAGTTAATACATGTCTAATCCATTGGCAACTTTTTAGCATTTTACTGCAGTAGGGAAAAACATAACACTGAATCTGTAGTTCTGTTTTTGTACAGTTGTGTATGAATTTAAACTGTTCCTGGCATGACTCTTCACCGGTATTTTGACTTACTGTCTGTTAAACTATAATTATTTTCATCATCCTCGAACAGTTGAGACTGCCACATATTGGGAAATGGATGTCAGTGTATTTTAAGATGTTCGGATTCTTTCATTTTTGCTATCCAGCATCCAGTTAACATTTTCTGCAACATGCCCTACTGACCACGTCAAAAACCACATCCATCCTTAGTGTAATAATTAAGAAGTGGGAAGCTTGATTAAAAAGGAAAGTGAACCTGGTTTATATGAGGACCAACACATACAGCATTAAATCTTGGTTTAGATCCAAGTCACAATTAACAGCTGCTTTTCAGTCATAGTCATACAGTACGGAAACAGACCCTTCAGCGCAACTTGTCTGTGCCAACCAGTTTTCCTAAACTGAACTAGTCCCATTTGCCTGCATTTGGCCTGTATCCCTCTAAACCTTTCCTATCCATGTAGCTGTTTGAAATGTTGGAAGTGAGTACAATTACATCACTTTATCTGGCAGCTCATTCCAGTATATGCACCACCTTCTGTGTGAAAAAAGTTGCCCCTTAGGTCCCCTTTTAAATTGTTTCTCCCTCCGTTTAAACCTATACCCTCTAGTTTGGACTCTCCTACCTTGGGGAAAATATCATCTTATCTATGCCCCTTATGATCTTAAACCTCTATAAGGTCATCCCTCAGCCTCCTATACTCTAGGGGGACAAAAAGCCCCAGCCTATCCAGCCTCTCCTTATAACTCAAACCGTCCAATCTCTATAACATCCTTAAATTTGTTTTGCATCCTTTCTGGTTTAATGTCATTGTTCCTATCACTGGGCAACCAGAATTGTAGGCAGTACTCCAAATATGGCCGTACCAATGCCTTGTAGAGCTGTAACATTATGTTCCAACTCCTGTATTTGGTGCTGTGACCAATGAAGACAAGTGTGCCAAATGCCTCCTTCACCACTCTGTCTTACCTGTGATGCCACTTTCAAGAAACTGTGCTTGCACCCCTGGGTCTCTTTGTTCAACAATACACCCCAGGCCTCTACCATTAACTATGTAAGTCCTGCCCTGGTTTGCTTACCAAAATGCAACACCAACATGAATTAAACTCCATTTGCCATTCTTCGACCCGTTGGCCTAGTTGATCAAGGACCCATTGTACTCTTAGATAACCTTCACTGTCTACTATACCACCAATTTTGGTGTCATCCGCAAACTTTCCAACCATGCCTTCTATATTCTCATCCAAATTGTTTATATAAATGACGAACAACAGTGGATCCAGCACTGATCCTTGCGGCGCACTGCTGGTTGCAGACCCCCAGTCTGAACAACAGCCTTGTACTATCACCCTCTGTCTCCTGCCATCAAGCCAATTTTGTATCCAGTTGGCAAGCTCACCCTGAATCCCACATGATCTAACTTTACTAACCATTCTAATGTGTGGAACCTTGATGAAGGCCTTGCTAAATTATATGTGACAACATCTCAATTGATCTAGAAAAGGATCAAAGCAATCTACATGGAACTGCTTTTTGAAGATTTGTCATGGTGATCTGTCAGAGTGTGTTAAATCAAGTTACAGCCTAATAAAACAAAAAGCTCAAGGCAGTTGACAAAACATATTGTTACACCTTGCTGTCTCAGATTCTCCAGCATCGGCAGTTCCTACTATCTCTGTAACAATTTTAACCCCACTGCGAAGCCCCTCTGATGCTGCTTGGCCTGCTGTGTTCATCCAGCTCTACACCTTGTTGTCTCAGATTCTCCAGCATTGGCAGTTCCTACTATCTTTATTACAACTTTCTCCACTTGCCTTTGTCCACCATTTCGATTTTGCATAAAATGCATTTGCTGATGTCTTAAAATTACTCTGCTTCCAAATGTTTGAGTTTATTATCTTAGAAATCTTTTACTTTTGTGTCTGTGATTGTGTCAACATTTGTAATCTCAACATGATGTTTGAAAGCAGCTACCCTTTTTCTGCCTTCCATAGGTCAGAACCACAATCAGAGCAAACTCTGGAACCTGACAGAATTTCACTTAGCTGGTCTGGACATCACTGACTGCTCACTGGCACTGATGACTCGTCACATGCCAATGTTGAACAAGCTGGATCTCAGCCAGTGCAACCATGTGACTGATCAGTCCATCGCCCTCCTGACGGCGCCTGGATCGTCTATACGGGAAACACTGACTGAAATTGACCTTTCAGGTAAAAAGATCATTAGTATCTCACCAACATCTTTTATTTCTTTATAGACACTGAATGGATGAGTATAATCTTAAAGATGTAGCCAGCTCAATCAATGGTATTATTGTAGTTTTTAAATAACTCGCTGGTTGTCCACAGTGGTGCTCATACTAAGTAATTAACAAAGACCTAAGCTTTACTGACTGAGTGAGTAAATGTTTTAAGAAGTAGAAATGCCGCTGTATAGACTCTTGTAATCTGAACATACTGATGGTGTGGATGTTAGTGGTTAGTAAAAGGAACAAAAGTGATATGAGGAAAAGGTTTTTCTCACAATGAGCGGGTAGGGCCTTAAATACACTGCCAGTGAATGGTGGAGGTGTGCTTGACCAAGGTATTCACAGATGAATTGGGCAGTTATTTGAAAAGTAGCCACATGCGTGGGTATGGGGAGAAGACGGGAAAATGGCACTCGGTGAGATGCTCATTTGGAAAGGTGACACAGATACAATGAGCGAAGAAGGGTCCAGACCCGAAACGTCAGCTTTCCTGCTCCTCTGCTGCTTGGCCTGCTGTGTTATCCAGCTCTACACCTTGTTATCTACAATGAGCGAAATAGCCTCAGTCTGTACCGTTTACAAACAAAAAATGTGCAATTCTGTAAAAGTACCTGCACTTAGCACCAAGATAATGGACTGCATGCCAAATTAGCAGACACATCAATAATTACAATGTCTGCTTGACATTGCTCTCCTGAAACTAAGGGAAAGAATGAAAAGAGCTTTCGTTTAGAAATGCCTGTATTAAATTAATAATTGTCAATAAATACTGTTGTCTTAATTCTCTCAACATTTTTTTTTCTTCCAGGTTGCAATCGAATAACGGATCAGTGCCTATTGCTGCTTAAAGACTGCCCAAATCTTACTCGAATTGACCTTCGGAATTGCAAACTGATTTCTCCCCAAGCCTGTCAGCAGCTTGTGGAAGGGCTGGCAGCTGTTGCCCCCTTTGAACTCTTGGAAGACAAACTATTAAAGAGGAGAAGTTTACAGTTGACAAAATAGCCTCCCGGACACCCATAAGCCTTGCTGAAATGTTCCTCTGAGTCCAGATGGAGACAGTGCAAATATAATATTTCAAAATTGCCTCCGCCTGCTGCTTGGGGTGTGTGTGTATTTGTGGGCCATGCCTTGATAGTCTGGAGTCGTCATGGTGATCATGTCGTTCCCTGCTGGCAAAGTCAGTGATCCAGTGACTGCTGTACAGTTTTTTGGGGGGAAATTACTGGTGTAATTGCCTTCACTTAGAAAATGAAGCATGGTTTTGGAAAAAAATTGTTTTTGTATTGCAAATACAGGGTTCTGACCATTATGCTCTAGTAGTAAACCTCTTCCCCCTGCCTCCTCGTCTCTCCTTTTCCCCTTGAAGAGAAAACAGTGATATGGTAGATTTAGGGAATATTTAAAAATACACGGAACATGAAGATATTATGCATGTTTGGAAAAAAAATACAAAGCTTAAAGATGGGCTGCAATTTAATTTTGGAAAAGACAGTCACTATTTCCTCCAAGTCTAAGTTTGAGGAGAGTCCAAAATAATACCAGTATTTTCAACAAATGTTGTTTAATTACACTTCTGAAGAAGTGTATGATGTTTCCTTTGACATTCCATTTTGCTGCACTTCAGTTTTAACCTATGATGCATAGGTTGAGAGTCAGCACGTTATCTTAATACTGAAAAATAAGTTGTCAGTTTGCAAAACCTGGTTAGTGAAATAATTCCTGGTAATAATAGACTTCATTCATTCCTGTTATGGATTTTTGTCCCTGACTTCTTGTTCCTTTGATCAAAACATTCTAGGTCATTTTATTGAGGCCAAATTGATTGCTGTGACATTCTAGTTCTGCTCAGAATTGTGAAAAACGGGTGTGCTGTGATGTCTAACATGTTTTATTACAAAGTTGTGTTTTGTAGGGTGTGCTTTAATTATTAATGATCTGCAATGATATTGTGCATATTTCATAGTGTTTAAAAATGCACCATGGCAGCCCTCATGGCCTAATTAAGTGGTGTTTTAATCAGAGAAATGGAAAATGTGCAGTGATTGCATTTAGAAAAAAATTATTACTTTGAAAGGAACAATTTCACCGTTAGTTGTTCTATCTCATTTAAATAGGATAGACAAAATGGAAGCATGATAACTGTTTTAGACCATTAGATAAGTAAACATGTAGGACTTTTGACTCCAATTGTACTAACTCATTAATATTCCATCACTGCAGTTGCTGCTCAGGAACACAATACTCTAAGTTCAAAGCTGGTTCATTGTCAGTGCAACAACAAAATAAGACCTTTTTATGAAAGCATCTGTGTTGTGCAAAGCACTTGCTTTTAATAACTAACTTTGATTGTAACTAACCATGCCCACCAAACTTACCCTGTGCTAGGAAGATTCGCACGGCTTGTTTACGTAAAACTGTAAACATGACTGGTTCACTAACAATGAGAAATTTTAAAGTGCATCTGTAGATAGCAGAAATTATTTTTTTAATCTAAGTATTCTGCCAAAAACAGAACTGAATAGAAACACTATGAGCAGTTTGACGTGCCACACCTTTCAAGAAACAACTGATACAAATTCAGGTTTGCTTCTGCTTACTGAGAAAACACTGTTTTACTTGTTTGGCCTTGCCCTAACTTTGGATATGTGTTTTACTGGCAAATATGCCCAGTACCGTAAATGTTATACAAGTGAATTAGTTTGCTACCCTCTCTGGTGAGAAGACTTTTATATTAACTGAAACTCTCAAAAGTCTACCTGAATTTGTATTTTTCAAAAACCCTTCTTGGAGTTTGAGTGTTCAGGATGTTTGCTATTTCTTACATTGTCTGTTTTGTAGGTTTTTCCTCCTTTGGAGCAAAGACTCTCAGCTTGTTTTTTTAATTTAATAAGAGGCTCATTTTTCAAATTTCCACTGTGCTTAAATGTTTTTATGACTTTGGTCAAACAAATACCATGCACCCATCTTTAAGCTTCTATCATTAGTCTATGCACTGTTGGAGAGGGTGAATAAATGTTTGATAAATGGAGGACTTTCCTTACAGCCTTGCTTATTGTCTGGCTTTGAAAATAATGTAAACCCTCTGCTTGTCCCCAATTGTATTCTGCTTACTACAAATATTAGCAGCAAAGGATTTCAAGTACTGGTCACAGCATGCTGTCTAATGGCTAAAACAGAATATCTGTTCTGTATATCTCATCTTTACAAAGAAAACAAATTTATTGTACAAGAATGTACTAAATTTCTGCCACACCTACACCCTTTAGAATGTAGATGGTACTTGATTAAAGCAGCAGTTGTAAAATTCTGTACATTATACTAAGGCACCTGCTGCTTTCTGTAAGTAATAGGGAGATTGTTCAAGTTGGGTTTGAAATAGATTAAACTTTAAGGGGTGTGTAATTAAATTTATACATAAAACCAAAACATTGACGGCTTTGTTTGATCCAAAGATAAAATCGTCAGTAAAAAAAAAAACTGAAAACCGTGTGATATTCTAAAGAAATTTTATCTTTCTTGGTCTGTTGTACAAAAATTTTTTTTCCTCTTAAACAGTGCAGCATTTGCCCCTGTTTATGCAGTGCAAGCTCTCAAACACATTGGATAATAGGTCATGCTCCATACATGAAGATCTGAAGGTGTAAGATGAACAGTCAGCTGTGTATGCTTAATCTTTTAGTGTGACAACACCTGACATAAATGTTTCTTAAAGGATCATAGATGAGGTGTTTCTATTCCTCGTTTTATAGTGGGGACTTATTTCTTTTTTAATTTCAGCAAAAGTATTTTTCTGTAAGTCTAACCTTCTTATTTCTAATTATCTTTTGGCTTCAGTGGTATTGGTCTATGCTGTGGTTTCACAGAGGGAACCTGGCCTAGTATGGATTATCATTTTCATATGTGCACTCTGAATTCAAATTGTGTGCATAAATAAATTTTATATAAGTACACAATGATGCATCTGTTTACATACTAATGGTGCAGGGAAATCCACATGTGAGACTAGTACAAATGCAATTATAGCAACAGTTTCATAGATGTTTACATCACATGGTTACTTGTTCTGTGAATTTCCTGTGGTTAAACTTTTATATCGAATAGAAAATTAAATTTATTTTCTATTATTTTATGTTAGCATCTTATTAAAGAAATATTCTATGATAATGTAGCTAACAGGAACTAAACCCACCTCTTGCGGTAGTTTGTAAAGAGTTTTAAGAATATTCAGTTTTTAATGCGAAGTAAATTCAAATTTGGAGATCATATTTCAATTTTTTTTAAATTGGTAACACCACTTTAAGAAAATCTGAAGGATTTGAGTTTTTTTGTGCATGTGTGCTTAAATCCTTTGTGTTCTTTTCTCCTTTTATATAAAAAAAAGTTTACTTTTATGCTCTGAGCTACCATTTTTAGCATGTCTGTCTTCCTTCACGTGCAGGGCTCCTGGGAAAATGTTTACTCTAAGTTTGGAATGTCCTTTTAGTATGAAGACAGGATTCAAAAGGTCACTTAAATAAAAAGTGCACACACTGAATTTAACTTTTTAAAAAACTGCCATCTATATTTTTTTCCCCTGAAACTACACCACTATGAATTTCACTAGGAAGATGAAACATGACATTGGACTTCATGTTGGCATCAGTATTGGAGGAATCAACTGTGCGAGTGTCTTTGTTAAAGCAGAAAGTTAATTTTTTTTAGCTGGAAAAGCGTTTGTTCTCTTGACTAATGGATAAGCACACAGGATCATTGCTTTAATTCAGTAGTTTCAGTTATGAAAACATTCAGTTGTTTGCCCTTAATGATGTGGATTGGTTTGCCAATTCAAAGCGGAGCTCCAAAACACATACGTAGAAATGGCAGCAGTTAAATTCATTTCCCCTTTTACACATTTTCATAATATTGTCCTGTCTGTTGTTTTATTGCTAGTTTTTAATAGTTTTAATTAATGGCAACAGGGCAATATCATCCACATGTCTGTTAATATCATTCGTTCTCCTGTCGAGGTGCAACATCTTTGAATATTTCAATCAAAAGCAAGGAAAATTACAGTTTCCAAAGGAAAATGCTGCCATCCAAAAAGATTTCAATCCATAAAAAGTTGGATTCTTTTTTAAGCCTACCTTTTTTTTAAGAAAAAAACTGCTTTGTGAATTTCGTGAATATAAACTTTTAAAAAGGAATGGCATGTAGAAAACTGAGAATTAGCCAGTAACAATGTAAACATGAGGTGACTAAAATAATTGTTCACATATACACTGCTTTTATCTATTGAATGCTGTCTTGGACATTGCACATTGACCTAATGTATGCAGTTCAATGTGATCTGATTTTCTGTCACTGAACAAATAATTATTTGCCAACAGTTATTTGGCAAGTGTTACTGTGCTATTAGTGAAAGGTCCTACTAGTAAACTGGGAAGCTAGTTTAAATGAACTGCCAACACTGAAACCACTGCACCTTTTAATACTCACAGCATAACATGTGTGGTTGGTGGCTGTCAGGCTGTATGAATGTGGTAAATATATTGTATCAAGAAAAACTAAATGAAAGCTTTTAATTTCATTTTCCATTTATAGATATTAAGCCACAATTGGGATTGCATTCTCAGGGGCCTGATGTTTTTAAAACACATGGAGAGGTTTTATGTGTTTTTTTAAAAATCTGTCCTTGTTCATTTTGCTTTTTTAAAAAAATTCAGCCATCTGACCTTCTGTTGTTAATGTGCTTTTGAATATACAGTGTTGTCTAATGAAAGCTCCTATTTCACTTCCATAAACCTTCCCTGGATATCAGCAAAATGAAGAAAAATCGACAGGCTAAGTGTCATTCAAAGGACTAGGACTCTGGAGCATTGATAGGAAAGTAGGCCTTCTATATATCACAACAGCATAATACTCTTGTCTTAATTAATGCAGCAGTATTGCTCTTCTCCACATCCCTCTCTCAGCATTTGTATTTGTCATCTTCTAATTTTATACTAGCACTCCACTGTGAATTAACCTACCTTTATCAATTCCACTCAGCATTTTTAGAAATTTTACATATATTGCCCATGTATTCTACTGACTCATTGCAGAGGAAATCACTCTTGGATAGGCTGCAGGGCATTCTTCTACTGGAACGAAGAAAAATGGCTATGATGACAAAATAGCAAGGCTGCCACAGGACCCTCTCATATTTAATACCTAATTGAACACTGGTTTCTTTCATTGGTTGTAAGTTTGTTCCTTTTTCCAAAACAATCCTAAGTGGCAAAAAAGCAAACTGGATCACTCTCTGAATATTCAGTCTTTGTTTTGTCATTGATTGGAAAGAATGAATGGGATTATTTGACTATGCTAGGGGTCAGTAGTGTAGTAAATGATACAAATGTTGATAATGGCAATGAAGATTAATCAGGTAGGCCTCTTTACTTCTGTTTTCACACTTCTCTTGCCTCATTGACCTTGCCCATTCAGTAGAATATATTTCATCTTGGTACATTGGGAACTAACAGTTTCTGGTTTGAAAGCTTCACAGCAGTATTTTTTTTCTTAATTTGCAGGGTTATTCATTCAGGTGTCGATTTTTGTTTTAGGAATTTCTACCAGGGAACATAATTGTGTGTAAAATTGTTCCTAAGAAGCTAGATTTCGTTCTGAATTCTGCCATCAATGCTATCATTTCACTGAGTAAAGTTGTTTTTGTAGTGAAATTCAATGGTTATTATTTAAAAACATATATTGTACTTTTGTTTTTGCCATCTATACCCTAATGCACTGCATTACTTGCCCATCTCTTCAATAACATTTTAAATCCCCCTCTGTTTCTATTTCTTTTCCAAGCATGACTTTCTTTTTTTCATTTGGCATTGACAGATGTTTGTGTCTTACCATCCCAATAAAGCAGCTGCCTGTAATATTTAATGAAGGATATGGCGAGAAGGTGAAGGTATGGGTGAGTTGCTGTTGCTGATTGCAAATGTCTTGGTATTGAGCTGAATGGCCTCTTTTTCTATACTGGAATCATATTTGATTCTATGAAAAGGAGCTATTAATGCCACATGGAGAAAATTAAAAGCCCAACCAAAACTCGCCTTAGTGAAGTTCAGCAATCGATAAACCCTCACCCTTTGTACTTCACTTTCTCTGCCATTGCAAATCTTATGACTGACATTTAGTTGAAGTGCGTTTTCCATGTGTAAAGTATATTCGAACAAATGCTGTATAAATGCAAATTGCTGTTCAGTTTGTTTTGAGAAACCCTCCAGATAACTGATAATTTGGTAAACCAAAGCGTGATGCTGTTGATTTATGCTTGCTCATTTAGAATAGTGCTTCCTGTCTCATTATCCTATTTATGAGGGGATATTTCTTTTAAATTCAAGTCTAACTGGCTATTAAATAACATTCCATAAAACTGAAGTCTGTGCACATAACCGCAGCTTGTGAATAATACAAACCTACAGCTGACTTGATAACATTAGTGGAAAAGTGCATGGAGTCTACATGAAATCACTGCCTATTTATCAGAGTTAACCATTTAATAGATGCAGGTTAACAGAGGCAATAAAATGAGCTGAGGGCTGCCATCAACTGCAGTAAGCTGTAGGATGCTGTTTAAATTTAGCAATTTAGATCTGCTAATGTGGTGCTTATTGTAGTAATATGAATGTCCAAGAAAAATGTTTTTTCTAATTGGTTTGTGAACGCTTACTTTATTCTTAGAGTAATAGAAATCATTCCTATTCCCAAAATACACAAGTTCTGTAACAGTTCTGATCTGCGACCAATATCTGTGCATCTAGTAAGTCTGGTATTACACCATGGGTTGAAAGTGCACCTTGTCTGTTGGGAGTCAGCTTGGCATGTGTGCTGTATTCAGAGGGTCAAACCCTGGGGCAGCATTTGGTACTTTCTTACCAGTTGAAGGCTTGGGTTCCATTGGAATATTCCCAAACTCGGTTCTCTTAAACTTGACTTAATACGAGACCTGAGCTATGCTTTACCTAGGGTGCCGCCCTAACACTGAATCTCTCAACATGTGGAAATATCTGACACTTAATGTGCACCTAAAACTTCTGCATTAAAACCAGTAATTGTGTTTATAATAAAGTGTATTTAGTTCATGCTCACAACCTCAAAATCTCTCCAATTGTGTCTGGATGGCCAGAAAAATTAAAGATGCCTTTATTTGGTGGCTGCAGCTTTTATTGCATTTTCAAAGTAGCTTCACTGCATTTATTTAAAATTTGCTGGGGAGTTTAAATTCTTGTTTTTGGGATATCATTTCAAATTTTTGTCTTAACAAATGTTATTGTCTATAAATGTAGAAATGTTCACAGCAGTTTGAAGGTCATGGCTTACAGAACAAAACAAATGATGACTGGGAGAAACTCAAGAACTCAACTGTTTTTTTGGAACTTTTATAGCAGTTTGCTAGGTATTGTGGGAATGGCCTCATCGTGTGGAGTTTTTGTAAAAATAAATTCCAAATCTTCAAGACTGTAACTGTCTTGGAGATGAAATAATTAGCCACGTACCTGCGGTAAACACTAAAAGCCCATTGTTGTACTTTGAGTGCTGTTTTTCCTTTTTTATCAACATCCTCTGTTTTTAAAGTATGCAGAATTTCATGAAAGGACAATCAAAAGTATATATTTTTTAAGAGAAACAATACTAGGAGTGGTCCCAGAGGTTTGAGCTCAACTCATGTTACAGCATGAAAGATTGCTGTGTCACATGGTGCAGTTTCTGATTTTAACCTGTCCCCTTCCATTGAGTTGTCTTGCCAGTTAAGATTCATGCCTCTGGCACAGTATATTATGACACATTTGAAGCAGTTCTTGCTTTTGTTGCTTGTTTATACACAAGTTGATCTCCCTTCTGTATGTTTCAAGCCTGTGGGTTGTGATGAAATTCTATTTTAAATGTAGTCCAAATATTCAGTGTCTGATTCAGTTCAAATATTATCAACTAGGTTTAATTAACTCATCAACCATGTTGTACCAGCATGTGAAATCTGACAACAGATGAGGGTTTGAGTGAACTTTGCAACTCCGTCAATCTTGTAATCTCCTCCTACACAGGGGGAGATAGTAGGCCGCCTTGTTTATATCTGTTTCATCTATGTTCATGCTTAATGTTGTTACACCACACTTTGGTTTCAGCTGCATTGTTTGAACTGGCTTTAATGGTCAGCATACTGGAGGGTGTGTCAATTTAAATGTGGACTAATATTGACCAAGTATATTCAGGGTCCTCTGCAGTGAAAATAAAAGCGGAAGACTGCCGAAGGGACCCTCCATCTCCCGAGGCTTGCATTTTACTGTTGCTTATATATATGTGTCATATACATATTTATTGACCAAAATACTTAGTGAGGGCCACACAAGTTCATGTGGATTGCCCAATGATTCAGGTTGTGACTTTTTGTTCCCAGTGTTCTCCTAGTTAATAGAAAATAAATGCAGAATTTTGTAAAGCTTTGAGTAATTTCTCCCTTGATGTTTTGTAGGCATTATACCACTTGTACATAACAACATTCTGCTGGTTGGTTCTTGTACCTCTGATCCTTATCTTGAATTTGTAGCTGCACAAAAACATGCTATACTTCAGAAATCTCAACTATACTTGAATAAAGTTTTACTTTAAATTTTAAAGGTTTTCCACCTGTTCTAATTGCTACATTTTGTGACCCGGAACCTCGGTATGAAATGTGCCTTTTGGTGTAGTAGGATGTCACAATGAGTTTGCGTTTGACAAGACTGTGGCTAATGAAGGGAAATCAGAAGTGGATTCACCCCACTTCCTGCCATGCATCTCCATTGGAATGGTTTGAAAAGACACCTGGGAGGCAAGTGAACGCAATCTGGAACAGGGAATCCTGTACATAATTCTTTTGGATAGCACAATATTTTCATGAGTTTATTTTACTCGTCTTTTATCCAATGTTTGTTTCTCTGCTTTTCAAACCTTTTTATGTAGTGTATTCAAGAGCAAAGCTAGGCAGATACCTGCTTGTTTTCTGTTCACTTGTAAGAATGTAAGCCTGCTAAATGCTCCTCGTTCCTAAACAAGGAAGTGGATTCCACAAAAGAATGGATATGCTAGGTTTGATTTTGTAATCTTTCCCCAAGTACTGGAATGGCCTCAACAGATTCAATAGATGAGTGAATACAGGGAACTACAGGCCAGAAAGTCTAGGGTTTTGTCCCACATAGTCTCAGACTATCATAACATGCCTGAACAAGGTAATTCAAAAAAAATACAAGGGGGTTAAAGTTGTGCTTCAGCTGTACATGGGTCTGATCAGACCTCACCTAAGAGTCTCTTTCTGTACTTCAGCATGTTGTAATCCTGGAAAGTGTTTTATTCCCATGTGATCTAATGGTAATGTTCAAATATTGGCATGCATCTTGGTGTTATCTGAAGATTGCTGGTTTGAGCCCTCTTGTGATCCTTTCTGGAGATGATAGGATGGTGATGAAAATCTTGGTTTTGTAATGCTACAGATTTGATTCCTTTCTCTGACTTTATAATCAGTTTCTGAAGCAAAGTCAAAGGCAGCTGCAAATCTGTGCTGGATGAAAGGAGTTGTTTTAGATCAGAGGACCTCTCCAGAAGCCTGCTCCTGGATCTGGTGTAAGTGATCAGCTGTAGGCTCCAACAACGACATAAATCCTGGCTCTATGCTCTTTTCCGTGGTTAATTCTGTGCCAAGGTTTCCATTGAGATGGAGCATGCAGCATCCACTGACGTTGTAAAGGCTTTTGGGTACAGCCTACCTCTACTGGTAAGTTTATTCGAAGGTGCTATTGAAGAACCCTTGGCAAGTTGCTGCAATGGATCTTGTAAATAGTGGAGGGGCAAGTTAAAGGTGGTTGAGAATGTGTTTCTCAAGCATGCTGCTTAATATCCCAGGTTATCATCACCCCTGGCAGCAATATAACATTCTATTAGAAATTTGATTTTTGTTTTTAATCGCACTACCCCACGAGAGACTCTAACTAATCAGTGTAGACACTGAATAGTGTATGGAGAATCTGTGTATTCATGGGATTCTTGCATTATCTGCCTGCTGCTGCTTGAGGGTTGGCAGTTGTTAATTTCCCTTTTTTTTTTGGTAACTCACTATTTTGACTAATGTGCAAACAGCATATGATCAATGTCTGGGACATTTTTGCTCAGGGCTCCAGCTGTATAATATAATTCAGAAAAAATGATCTCTTTCTCAGGCTTGTCTTTTTTTTAAAAAAACTTTGTCCTTGATGCTTTTTAATAGGCCCAGTTAAATTTGACGATTCATCTGTGGTTATGTTTGCCAGTTTACACCATGGAAGCTTCAGATGTTCAATATAATCTCTCAAAGAGATTCAATCGCTGTTGGTGTGCCTCATTCATTTTTAAAAATAAAACATCCTTGATTTTAAATTTGTTAACTTGTCTGACAAGAATGAAGTCCTGTGGTGTCTTTGATGCCATAGCTATCATTTGTGCTAATTAAATTACCAGGAAGCACTGATTTTTTTAATACAATAGCTAAATCTTCACTGATATTACAGAGCTAACAATAATTCTTAATGGTAAACTAATGTTCTCAATTCTTTTGGCTTATCAGAGCACAGTATACCAGCAACATCAACCATGAACTTTTTAAAAAGCCACCCTGCAGCGAAATGCTAACGTTGTCCTGGTGTTTAAAATTGCTGAACATAATCTGTCTTTATAACAGCTTCCTGAACTGATACTTGCCATTCAAAAATGTTTGCTTTTAAGTTGAAACAACTTCCTTGGTTATAAATTGCTGCCGATTGTAATGCTTTGTTGAAAATGTACTTTTGAGCAATGGATTGCTCTTCTGAAACATCAGGCTACAAGTCCTGGTTTCTCCAAGAAACATTTCACAGAGTACTACTTGAAAACCAGACTTTTTTTTGGAAGTGTTGATTTTTCCTTTCCCCTTCCTAAATGACCACAAGTGAACTGTCAGCCTTTTTCAAATTTGTCATTTTTCAAGCTTGCGCTTCAGTTACGGGTCAAAGAAAGTCATACACTTAGTGTCACAGATGGTGTCACAGATGTGGGGTATGTGGTGCAGGGGGTTTATAAAGTGCTTTGATTTTGGTAACATGCTATATATCTGGTAAACTGCATAAACATTTTAGGGTGAGGAACCTTAAATCAAATCTCTTTGTAAATATGTTCAATGGGTTTTTATATTTTACTACGGTTCATAATCAAGTACTTCAAGCTGCAATGTTTTACAAGAATTCTTTAAGACAGGATGGAAAGTTTCTAAAGGCCATTTATAGTATCTGAGTGATAGTTTACCTACTTGTCTGTGTTTCAGAGGTGTTGTTGCTGTTGCTACAGTGCATCATGTTGATGGTGCTGTACTTGGTCAAGACATTGTAGTTTCACATGAGTGCATTTAATGCAAAGTGTCTTCACAACCATAATCACTTCATTCAGAGGTCACAATATCTCACTAACTTTAGCAGGTCAACTGTGAATTTTCCAAACATTTAAATACCAAACTTGTATATACTTTGCATAATTGACATGTGCAAACAAGACCATCACTGAGCGATGCAGTTTGGTTTCACATCACAAGTCTGCAATTACTCCATTTTCTTCTTTCCCATCGTCCATAAATCTAGGTCACTACTGTCACAAGCATTTTGTTAACAATCAAGCAAATTCCTGCAAAGACAGGGTTGATGCACAAAATTAACTTTTTTGCATCCAGGAACCATCTCTCTATAACAAGTTGAGAGCATAATCGCTGTGTACTTCACCACATCAAGGTCTTCCATGGGGAAGTATGACATTATCAAGAGAACTTTCACTATAAATGGGATTGGTTGAGCTTCAAGACTCATTTGCTTTTCTTTTGGTCAGATTTTAAACTTGTTTTTGGGACAAGTTTTAAAAATGGGGAAGAGGCGGAGCTTGTTACGTGCTTCATGTACTCCCTTCAGGAATGGCTGCCTGCTTCCCAGTCCTCCTGGTTACTGCTGATACAACAGTAATAACCCAAGGACCCTCTCTCCTCCTCCCTTCCCCCCCCCCCCACTCCACATTACATCACATCCCCACAGCTTACTACTCCTTTTCACCTTGACAACTGAGAACAACTCAGAGGTTGGGATGAATGCAGCACCAACAACACTCCAAAAGCTCAACACCACCTAGGATACAGTACCCTGATGCACCACCTTAAAACATGCACTCCCTTTACCAGCACCATAGACAGCAGTGTGTACCATACACTGCAGCAGGCAGCAACCACCGCTCGCCCGCCCAACCACCTTCCCCCTCTCTCTTTCTCTCTCTCTCTCTCTCTCTCTCCCCCCCCCCCCGCCAACCAAACCACCTCTGCCACATAGAATGACAAGAGCAGAGGTGTTTGGGACCATTCTCTCCTCCAACAAAAAAAGGACCTCATGTTACATACTATCCTAACCTTAATCTGTCACTGTTCCTTCATCATGGAAGAGTAACAATCTGGAAAATCTCCACATAATGGCACTGTAGGAGTTCCTTCAGCACTGACTGTAATGGGTTTGATAAGAGGATGGGGGAAAAAGTGGACAATAAATGCTGACCTTGCCAGTGTTCCTACCCCCCACAAATGAACATAAATGTAATGAAAAAAAAACAAATTGGAAAAATACAGCAGGTCTGGCAGCATCTGTGGAGAGAGGAACAGTTAACATTTCAAGTCCATAAAATCTGGGCAGGGGAGAGAATTCATTGAATTTAAGTCCATGGTCTCACTGTTACTACTTACATATCTAAATATTTTTATAGTTTTAAAAATTGGTGTACATTAGAATTTGTGCTTTTTATTTCTCAAACTTTATTAATTACAGCCTTTTTGTGACATTTCCTGATGGCAGATAACTGTATCAAGAGACGGGCTAAAAATTAAAATAAAGCCATAATTTGAGACTTCTGTAGCATCATAGACTTTCCTTTTCTGTGACAATTTATTGATAATTATTCATTATATTCAATACCATAAATACATAGGCAGTTGCTTTTCCTTAAACTTCAAAAGATAATTACTTTGTCAGCATTTTGGATTTTTCCTGGACCTATAATGTGGAACATTTAACTCAAAGTCAGCATGTTATTAAAACAGCACGAAGGCTAGTGAACATATTTCTACTATTTTTTTAACCTCCTTCTGAACATCAAATGCAAATTATTATAAATTTGTCACAATCAGGAATCAAGTATTTCAACCCATTTGGGGGGGGGGTAGAAATCTTCAGAGTGGACAATTTTTTAAAATTATATATAGAAGGGAACAGGTCACTGAAAGAAAAATGATTCATTTAAAAAAACAATTCTGACCAAGTGAATCAACTTTCTCCATCTGCTGGGAGGAAAACTCTTTAAAACGGTGTATTTTTGGTTTTTAAAGGGTCATCGTTATTCAACCCCAAGAGAAAGATAAAACAGGTCTATGGGCAATTCGACATTATGACATTGTTTTGTACTTGCAACCTGGATGCTTCACAGCTCCCAGTAGCTTTAAAAATTCCCAACAGAACAGTTAAAGGCCTGTTCAGTAATGGGGCAACCAGGACTCAAAAAGGGGAACCAGACACTTGGGCGCACTCCAGAGGAGGAAGAACAAAACCTGTGAGGAACTGGTGACAATGCATGGACCTAACATCAACATAAAGCTCAAAAAAGGAATAACAAGGTAAACTGACAACAGGATCTGAGCTGTAAATAGTGAAAATAAGGCAGCTTTAACCAAAAGGAGGCTTGCAAGGCTAAACCATTGCACCAGCAGCGTACACTGTTTACAAAAATGAATTCCCACATCTTGAATCTGTAATAACATCTGGGTTACTGCTGTGCTGTGACATCAGACGTGTGAACAGATTGCTTCAAACTCCCTTTGAGCAGATAATTCCTGCAGGGACTGCACAAACACCCTGTAATTCTGATTAGAGTGCTGCAGCTTCAAATTAAATAAGTAGCACCAGTATCTAAAAATACTGAAATTTCAGTTTTTATAACAAATTAAATGAATGGTGTTTGATCTGGAATGAAAACTGTATTTTCCCCTCAATACATATAGGGTTGGTATTAATGTATCAAACCTCCAGCATGCAGCACAACCTGCAACTTCAATAGGAAAATGGGTAACCTCTGATTGTCAAATTCAGAAACAGTTACCATCAAGTCTTAGAAAAGATTAATACAAGCATAGTACAATGATTTCTGAATTTAAACTGTGGTAAATAAATGTGTCTCTACATCCAAAGAGTTAAAAAGAGAGTGTGGGTTGGGATTTTTTCTGCTTGTCATTGGCAGTTAACCATTTGTCCCTTGCTGGAAGGAAAATGCAGACACACACCAGCAGAGGGCACTGCTGACCAAAATGATCGCTGGTAGCCACCAATGTTAGCATCAGGTCAGTTAAACAGGAGTCTGTTTTCCACGTTCACGCAAGTCAAGTCAAATAACTGCTTGTCATGGCAATATTTTCCAGCAGCCCTTTCATTCAGTAAGTCAGATCAGAGCTCCTTCACTCTGTGAAGCCAAGACAACCTTCTCGGATGGTTTTAGTCCTTATCCAAAAGCAGGTCTTCAAAGTTATTGTGGTTCATGTCGAGTTGTGTTTGGAGCCATGGGGTTAGTGCGATATAACCACCTAGCGATCATCTCTACAGAAGAAGGTTAAGCTGGACTGGCTCCTGACCTAGATGCGGAAACTTTCTTCCTTCCCATCGATGTGCTTGAGCTGCAGGTAAACATCGGTCCCAATGCCCTGCATGGACTGAATGGAGAGTGATCCACCCAGGTACTCGGCGTAAGCACGGGAGGTAGGCAGGCCAAAGCCAAACCTGCACAAGAAAGAACAAAGGGATAGATTTATTCCTGAAGCCTGTTTGGAGAAGCCATCAGGCACAAGATGGGACAACAAACCTCTACAGCAACAACTAAATGATTCCGGTAATTGCCTGTAGGGGCCTCTCCATCAGTTTACAATGTTGCTCCAGTGTTCATTCCAAATATCATTGGAGATTAGGGAATCGGCTTCATCCAGAATTATACTGCTTTAGTCATCTCTAATCATCCGCATGCCCCTTTGATTCAGTCACTGGCTTAAATGTTAAAACAATGAGTAATTTGCCAACTAATATCAGCTTGTTTTGAGTTAGTGGCTCATCTCAAAACTTCAGGATTAATAGTAACTAAACTGGTGGAAAACACATCCAAGAGATGACCTTAGCCCGGATATGAAATATCCGAAAAGACACACAAAGAGGCTGTTCGATAACAACCAGGTCTAGATCAGTGTTTATTGTACACATCTTCCTCCCACCCCACTTTGCTCAACCCCATTAATTTGTCCTTCCAAACTGTTCTCCCTCCCATTTGTCCGATTTTCCTTTAAATCGGATTTATACTGTTTACCTTAAACACATTACACATTCTCACCACTTCTGGGCAGCAATATTAATCTGGAACTCCCTAGTAAATTTATTACTGACTAACATTTATACACCTCCCGCTATAGACTCCCTCCTGGTCAACCCAATCAAACTCCTCTGTAGTCTTAAAGATCTCAATCAGGCACTCTGATTTTCTCTTCTAAAAGAATAGAGCCAGAGCTTGTTCAATCCTTCCAGAGAGATATAAACCTCTTCTATAAGTCTTCAGTTCTTTGTATGGCCAGCAATATTGCTGTGGCACACCAGGTACAGACAGGGTCTTCATCAGGGCAGTTGCCAGCAAAGCTCATGCCCCGCGAGAGAAAACAAAAAACAGGATGCAAAGTAGGAGAGCAGGGGATAGAAGAGTTTCCCATGATGGCTTGGCAGGAGGAAGGGAGGGGGTCTATCTTCTAGGGTTAACTATGAAGTTGTACATTCTCTCCGTGTCTGTGGGGGTTTCCTCTGGGTGCTCTAGTTTCCTCCCACAGTCCAGAGATGTGCAGGTTAGGGTGGATTGGCCGTGGTAAAAACCCCACGTGGGCTGGGACTGTGTCTGGGTGGGATGCTTCTAGAGGGTCAGTGCAGACTTGATGGGCTGAATGGCCTCTTTCTGCACTGTAACAGATTCTTTGATTAATTCTCATCAACTGGGAGCTTCTGGATTAGAGCACAGGGTTGAGGAAGTGTTTGTGTGGATCAATTCCCAGAGATACGCCACCACCCTCAATGACTCTCATTCCATAGCCCTAGTCTCCCTGCTCCCACACCCCCCACCTGGGGGGGGGGGGGGGGGGGGGGTGGCCTTTAGTCCCCATCCAGAGAAAGAGGAGAGGGATATGCTCACTTCATAGTCAACAAGCCAGCAGAGATGCTGAGAAGACAGTCAGGCCTGGGAACTGTAGCCAATTGTCCCCAGTGTGTGGATACTGAGCAGTTCCTACAACAACAGAAACAAAATGCATCAACATGTGCAGTGCATTCAGTTCAATGTCACATTGTGTAGGTTGATTGCAGTGATGTTAAATTAGCTGGCAGGATGGTGCCATGGTTAGTGGGGTCAGGGGCATATGGTTTTTGCTTTGTAGCTAAACAGGGAACCTAGACTTCTGATGATACAGCTCTGGAGGCTTCCTTACTGTAGCTTCTCGCAGCATAACAGGATAACCACATGCAAAATGAAGCAGCGCAAGACAGTGGACAAATCCCTCCATGCTGCACTCAATTCAAGCAGAATGTCAGCGGCACAGTGTCACCTGCCCTGCCAGCCCCAGACACACATGTTCCCTCCGTCACCGCTGCAGATGTCAGATCAGTCTTCCTGGGAGTTAACCTAAGGAAAGCGATGGGCCCGGATGGAGTCCCTGGCTGTGCACTTAGATCCTGTGTGGACCAGCTGGCAGAGGTATTCACTGACATCTTCAACCTCTCCCTCCTACAGGGCAAAGTCCCCATCTGCTTCAAGACGACCACCATCACCCCAGTACCTAAGAAAGCACGTGTAATGTGCCTTAATAACTACCGCCCAGTGGCTCTGACCTCCTTAATCATGAAGTGCTTTGAGAGGCTGGTCATGGCCCACATCAACTCTAGTCTCCCAGCCTGCCTCAATCCCCTGCAATGTGCCTACTGTAACAAGTCCACAGTAGATGCCATTTCCCTAGCCCTGCATTTATCCCTGGAACATCTGGACAACAGGGACATCTATGTCAAACTCCTGCTCAATCAACTACAGCTCCGCCTTCAACACCATTATCCCGTCCAGACTGATCCCAAAACTGAGACTTTGGTCTCGGCTCCACCGTCTGCAACTGGATCTTCAGCTTTCTGACCCACAGACCAGTGAGGATAGGTAACTGCACCTCCTCCACGATAACACTCAACACTGGAGCCCCCCCAAGGGTGCCTTCTCAGCCCCCTACTATACACTCACTACTGTGTTGCCAAATTCTGAACAAATGCCATCTACAAGCTTGTTGATGACACCACTGTGGTAGGATAGATATCAAACAATGATAAGTCAGAATACAGACAGGAGATAGAGGGCTTGGTGTCATGGTGCGATGACAACAACCTCTCTCTCAATGTTAGCAAAACTAAAGAGCTGATCAGTGACTTCAGAAAGAAAGGAGACGAACACACCCACCAGTGGAGCGGAGGTGGAGAGAGTTGACAGCGTCAAGTTCCTAGGAGTGACAATAACCGACAACCTGTCCTGGACTTCCCATGCAGATGTGACGGTCAAGAAGGCACAACATTTCAGGCGGCTCAGGAAATTTGGCATTTCCATAAAGACCCTCACCAACTTCTACAGATGCACCATTGAAAGCACACTGTCTGGTACGGAAACTGCTCTGCCCAGGACCGTAAGAAACTACAGAAGGTGGTGTGCACAGCCCAGACCATCACGGAAGCCAACCTTCCATCCACAGATTCTATTTACACAGCTCACTGCCGTGAAAAGGCTGCGAATATTATCGGACCCATCGCATCCCAATAATGCTCTCCTGTCTGACAGCAGAGGTTGTAGAAGATACAGAAGCTTGAACACCTTGAACCTGCTGGTTTAAGAACAGCTTCTTCCCTGCTGCTATTGGACTGATGAACGGACTCTCTAACTTCAAATAATGTTCATCTTGTTAATCTTCATCTTACCTAGCATACACCCTGTGCGGTGTAACCTGTACGCCTTACTCTGTCCAAGACTTTGTTCCACCCTATGATCTGTATGTCCTTGCTTACTATGATCTGCCTGTAATGCTCACAAAGCTTTTCACTGTACTTAGGTACACGTGACAATAAATCAAATCCATGTCCCCTGTGACCAACTAACCAACAGAGCTCTTAAAATGAACAATAATCCACTGTTGCAGTAAGTTTAAAAAAAAATGCAATCAGCCAACAGCAATAAACATTCCCTAAAAATCCACCACTTTAATGAGCAAATCCTTGGAGCCGAGATGATGTTTGAGAATGGGCTGGTTTCTGCTTTGTCTTCCGTTTCCAACCAGCCATCCCTCACAACAATTAAAACCAGCTCCAATTACATCCAAAACTTGCTGCTATGTACAACCTTCTTCCTCTTCCTTCATTTACACCATTTTGAAAAGTTACTGTCTTTGTACAAACTGCGCCAGACAACAGCAGACAGCAGGAACTGCCCTCATGTATCACCTAGCTCCTTTAACATGGAAACTTGTCAGAGACACCATGAATTAATTACCACTGATCAGGGCTCCCCCTTTAACAGAGAACATCAGGATAAAGTCATTTCTCACTAATTATTTTATATGGAATATCTCCTGTATCAACCATGAAGATTGGAGAAATGTGTGATTGGCAAGGTGAAAAGGAGTTGGAGGCTTGTGGAGCAATTGTTTGGGGCGTGCAGATTATTTCAATCCCCGTTTTAAAGCCACACAATTTATTCCTTTTTTTTTAGAAACAGGATATTTGGCATTACTTCTCAGCTTCCCAAATTAGTGTAAATAGAGTTGGACAAGGTGTAGCAGACTTTCTGCAATCTAGACAGAGGAACTGTCTTCCATTGATGTGTGAATGTAGGAACAGAATGAGTGAGTGTTACAGTAAGAGCTCAGTTACATTTGCAGCTCTTAAATGAACCACAACTTCCCACAGGAATCAACGTTGGAACCAGAGTTAGGTTCCTTCGTGTATTTCTCAGGCAGAGAAAGTAAAATTTGGAATAATGAACTGTACTAGTGTACACTGCATTCCGAAATGAAATAACCTGCATAATAAAAATCAGTATCAAGATATATCAATATAGCAATATTTTAAGAAGTACTTTAAAATGTACAATATTGTTAGTTAGTGACCAGCTCCATCTAATGGCCGATGTTGGTCAGTGCAGCAGTACTGGCAGAATTATTGCACCGAATGGTCTCCTTCAGTTCCTATAGTCCCAATGTCTGGTACCAGGCGTACCTCTTATTAACTAGAAGCTACTTTGAGACAGCACAAACTCTCTGCCAGTGTGCAATTTAACCTAACTGCCTGGGACCTTCGTAGTGGGACGAAGGATCCCAATATTGTCCCGTTTATTCCTTACCCGTGCATTGGCCCAGAGTGGGGCCCGCTGTTCACCGTGTGTCCGTAAAAAGAGTTCATTGCGGAATCCTGCGAGCTCTCCTCGGCCGTGGTGAAGTGATAATCTGTCACTTTGTCAATGATCTGGTGAGGAATCCCACCTCCACGATCCGAGATCCTGCAACAAAAAAGGTGACAGAGCAGGGCAGGGTGAGTGTTGCTGTATAGTGTCTTGCTCTGTCCTCGCTGTCAGTCTGTATCTGCCAAATGGACCCAAGGAGATGCCAACTGGAGCCTCTATTTTTGCGAGGCATACAATCAGTACATGGGGCAATGTGTGGCCAAAGCTGTGAGTAGTTTTTAAAATCACCAAAGTCATCGTGAACGTTCTTAGAATCAATTCAAACATATTGATTGTCATTTTACCAATCATATGTATATCCAGTTTGATGGTTGCCATCCAAGTGGTCATTGAAAAGTAAAAGCTAACTGCCTGAAAAGCCAATCTTTTGCTGCAGAAGGGTGAAGGATAATCCACAACAAAAAAAAGTGAACCCAGTTAATGACCACCTACAATTAACCTGACTGCAGCAAAATCAGTAAAGGGGCTGACAGTCCCTCACTGCTCCCCAAGAGACACCCGCTCCCCCATGACCCCGTTCCCTCATTAAACTGCCATCTCGGGCTTGGTTTAGGTATGGGCGATGAACTGTTTAGTCACAGCAAGTTTTAAGGAGCATCTTAAAAAGTGGAGGCGAGGAGGGAGAATGATTTCAGGAAGGCTTTTTAAACAGGATCTCAGGTTTACAGGGCTTGAAGCCTATGTCTGATCAATTGGGCGAGTAGAACCAGAGTTACCGATGCTAAAGCAGAGCAAGAACACCCTTACAAACTGACCGTAAAGCATCCTCTCAAACACACAGAACTGAAAACACATTTACTTTAGACCTCTCATCATCAGAGTGGTTTCCTGATGTGGAAACAGCTGATGGAAGGACATTTAACTAACACCATTCCTGCCCTGGCCCATCACCCCTGTTTAGACCAGGAACGGTCAAGCCTGGCCATCCTGGGCTCTAGCAGTGGCCAATATCTCCAGGGTCAAGATGCTCCACAGGAGGATGGGCAGCCTGGTCCTGGGTGCCAAAACCAACATGACGAGGAACCCAAGTGGGCCAGCAGTAACAGCCATGTCAGCTGATAGGGGAAGGGAATAGCATCATTGAGGTTCAATTGTCACATGACATACTGACTCTTGGGCATGTCTGGTCGTAATCAGATCCAACAACGTTTTATATCCCACTGCAAGTGTTATTTGATAACAGTGTGGAGCTGGAGGAACACAGCAG